ATATATATATATATATATATATATATATATATATAGTCAGATGAAACGGAATCATATACACCCCTATTCGACGTCACAACTGGACCTCGTCAGTACGACGGTAAGCAAACAGATTAGGATATCCAGTCAAAAATCTCCTTTCTTCACATGGTGTGAGGCGCAGGCAACCAGAATTGCTCAGAAGGTAGCAAAAGCCAAGTGTTTCGAGGACAGCAACTACTCGCTGGCAAAGCTGATGGCTCCTCCTTTCGGCGGCTGCTTAGCAGCCACTGGCGGAGTCGAACTTACGAATGCTTGCATGATAACAACGCTACTCCCCATAGCTCCATGTCTGCCAGCGGAACATGAAGACCTGGCGTGAATCCGCACACCATCTGGCTGCATCAGCGTTTACACCAAAAGTCAGGGCGACCTTTCCAATTATGCCTGATTTTCTTTTTCCAAAAAATCGAATGGAATGAACGCAATGATAAACAAGCAGGTACACTGTATCACAGCTTCTTCAGTGCTGGACAAAACTTAACTTCTGGGAGTGGAAGAGTGGATCCACGCTCCTCGTTAATATCGCTCTCCGGTGCTTCTTTGAACTCGGGACAGCCGCGAACGTTTGTCCTGAAAGATCTAGCAAAACTGAATGTGAGAAACAAGAGACAAACACACAACAGCTAATCAAATTACCTGAAATCACATCGTCCCAAAGAAGGATTGAAAACTAAGCCAAAGGCGCATTTCGAAAACGATGTCGCGCCACGCAAACAGTGATAATAGCCGACTCCACATGGTGCCAGACCGTAAATACCGTCATCGAGGACTGCGCACCCCGACGGTGGCATATCAGTATCGTCATGCCCCCTCAAATACATTCTCATAAACCACTCTGAGAACAGTGCGCAACAGAAAGATCAATAGGAAAGGAATAACGTACTCTTTAATAGCAGTGCGAAAAGTAGAAGCGTGACCGCCGCAGGCAATAACATTTCTAGGGTCATCACAGAAACCTCCCTGGACGTTGAAGACCAGTTCGGGAGGACACTCGAATCCCGTCGATATGCCATTTGAGCATGAATAAAACTTTTCAGTGCATCCATTGGCGTAAAGGCCATCCTCCTGATCCTTGCATCTGCAGTCTGCTATTCATCCAATAATATCAAGAACTTGAAGAAAACCCCCCAAAAAAGAAAGCTCTGAGACAAAATCATTGATGATACCGTTGTCATTATCCAGTGATTCCACATGTTCCGTTCTGCTACCCAGTAAGCATTTCTCAATATTATTAAGATAATCACATCGCCCCGTCAGGCCATTGAATGCTAGGCCAGTGCCACACGACGCGTTACTTCCGTGTCCTAAATGACGAATCATTTGCGGCGCGCATCAGGTGGGCTAGTGTGATTATGCGTTTTTATACCAGTTCGTACTGTGGTAAGACGGCTTCGATAAGGTGCTTCTGTTTCCGTTTCATTGTTTTGGGTTTGAAAATATTTTGTAAATACAGGATAGTTGCGGTTTTATGTTTAAACTGTTTAAACAGTGCTACTTTTAATAGGCATTTCCTTTGCTGCGGAGGAAACGAATATCGCTAGCACTGTGCTGTCAGTGATAATGCAGATTTGCATAATCATGGGGAGCACAGCTCGTATGCACAGTGTGATGTGAAGTGCAGCAGCCCAAAATGAAATTTGTCCGACTAGCTATATTTGGTAACTGAAATCAGTCCAGCGTATCTGTAAAGAAATGGCATAAACAACGATCAACTCTACAACTTTGAGGTCACAAAGAGATGAATGACCAACGCGTCAAAATCCGGCATTCTAGTATAATGGTAAAGGAAGTGTGAAACTAGTCCAACGTTTTATGAAAAAATGTATTAAAGAAAAGGAGAGAAGAATAGGAATGAAAAAAAGAGAGGCAAATGTTTGAATGATAGAAGAAAACTGATACATAAACAAAAGTCTAAAAATGCTACTGATAAGTAACGAAAGACTAAGGAGGTCGCACATATGAGGTATGGTGGAACCTTGAAGTTAGAAATACTACAGTACCCGGCCGAATCCCAGGCCTACTGCGCCGGAATAAAGATAAGACACAAAATTTTTTATCTGTTTATGAATCATCGGGATCATTCAGGCACCTGCTTGGATATCCGCTGAATACCACACTCTTTTTTTCCCCATGGCTGTGACCCATTTCTTCTTGGCAAGCCCAGACTCGCGCGCTATATAAACCGAGCTTTCGGGCACAAAACTCACTCTCGACTCCAGCTGGTCGTAGTGGCGAGAGCTAGTTTGGCTGCCCACTGCACTCAGTTCTCCACATCGTCTTTTTTTAATTTTTATTTTCTAATGTCCGCCCGTAATAGGCTAAAAATTGAAAGAAGGAGGGGATGTTGAAAAGTAGCTTCAGGGTTAGGTCCTAACTCTTAGATGTAGCCAGAGGTGGTATTAATAGTTATGGTATGGCTTTGAGTACTATTCATACTGTAATAGGCACGATAAATGATGTAGCGTAATGCCGTGTGATACAATTAATGTATTGTAGCGTAATGATGTAAATGTTTTTGTATTGGGTAGTTTAATAAGACAAATTCGAGGCGAAACGAAAAATGCCCGTCATGATACCATCTCTCTGAGATTGTGAAATACTGTGAAGTGGATTTTGAAAGATAAACGATATTTCATTTGCGCAAAGCAAAGCTTTTTGATAATTGAAGAAGTGACAAAGGATCGCAGCAACACTTATTTTTCGAAAATTTTACCCTATTAGGAGGAGAAAATTATCCACACTAAGTAACATTTGATGCATCCAAGCACAGGACATGAGCGGCAGATGCCAGTTTTTTGCGCATGAACAGTGAATATCTTCATAAAGTATAGCTGCGGGAGTTAAATGAATGACAACGGTACTCCTACTGGAAGTGCAACCTGCTCATACGCGAGATCTGGACTTGTATGTTAAGATGAATTTCAAATATTCTTAACATGCAGCATCATATTCCCAAAAAATTCAGTTCCTAACTCAGTTAGCTTTCGAAATCGCTTTCCTCCCAAAAATAGTTTGACGTGCTCATGTGTTTGATACAGGCACACGCGAATGCTCATTTTACGCGTACGGACTCACAAACATGCAACAAATATTCTTGCAAAATTACAGGAAACTACTCAGCCCATTCCCCGAGTTAGTAATTTTTCCAGCTACTGCAAAATCGCAAATCTGACGCGTCCGTACTCAAGATGTGTGCGCGCACTCGAGCTGAATTTTAAAACTCTAGCTCATATAAGGGCACAGGATGCATATGAGAAGTTTCAGCCTACTAAATTGTCTGGTTATCGAAATCGCTTGCCCGCTAAAAAATTTGTACAAATTCTTTAATGAACCTGTATGTAGGTCTAGGCGTACGTGAACGATGATTATAAAGATGGAGCGTCGCACGTGGAATGGGGACATGATCCAGAAATTTTAGCTCCCTGGCTTCAGTGGTTGGCGAGTTGGAAGTGGCTTCAGTGGTCTCGCCAATATGCGTTTTGGCATTTGCGTAGATGTGCAAAAATGCACAGTTCAGGTTCGTGAAAAATCATCTCAAGGGATGACAGAACAGTAATGACTTACCATCCACACAAATTATAAAATCTTTTTCACAGTCGCCAAGCTGATAGAGTCCATTAGGTAATGAGTTGCAAGAGACCGAATAGCTATGGGGTATTTTTGTTGCCAGCGCAAAATCCTTCCTTTCAGGTCCATTTCTGGAAAAGCATTCCAACACAAAAATGTATTAAGACTCAATTATCATACCGGAATACCCAGTTTCTAGTGAGCACCAGAATGATCCATGCCAAGCACAGCTTACTGTCACCATCACACACGCTACACTCCCCTTCCCCTCCCAGTAAGTTACGCACCATATTTTAAAAATCTGGTGGACTTACTGTGCACTTAAGTTTGCTCCGGTGACCTTCTGGATTATGAAACAGTGCGGCATTTCGTTTACACTGACGCAGTAGCCGTGTTTTTGAGAGAATAACTGCCCACGAAGACATCTGACAAGCAAAGCCTTGCCACTGAGACAGAGAAGATACTTGCTATGGCATCTTGAAACGGCATACTCACCATCTTCGCGTTTCTCACAAGCGTCTCGCTTCTCATAAGGTTCCAGCACTGTATAAGCAATTTCTAAAAAGACAATTTTTTCACACAGAAAACACATTATCAGCATTTCTGTTCCAAAAAATTCCTAAAGATGAAAGAAATATACACGCTTAAATGGTCTCAGAAAACTCACGCCACTTTGCTGGTCGACCAGATTTCTTAGAAGTCCTGGCTTTCGTTGTCGTTACTTTACGCGATTTCCTGAAGTTCAGCATACACTGTACAGCCACGCTTTGAATTGAACATGTCGAAAAATACAAATTGGCCAGCGCACCGGCTGCCGGTGCTAAAATTCATTTTTTGCACAGTTTTCCTGCAGATTTTTGTCGCTAACGGATGTTTTTTCCGGCAGATGCTTCTAACTAAAAGAATTGATACTGGCTACCACTATACTAGAAATCATTATAAGGACTTCCAATCCACGCTCAAAAAAGCTCAGCATTCTAGACGGTTCAGCTGCGAAGTTATGTCAAAGTGCGCGTATTCGTATGTAAAAGGGATGTGAATGTTGTTTTCATGTGTAACTGCCCAAACACATTCCTACATCGCGCTCAGAAAATTTTAGCACTCCAGCAAATTTGGTTGTGGAGTTACGTCATGTTTGATTTCCGTATATAAGACGTACGTGAAAAATGAAAGGAACGCGAAAATTGTTTTCACTTCCACCCAGCCAAACGCTGCCGTCGCTCACACTCAGGAAGCTGCAGCCCTCAAGCTGCTTCAGTTCTGTCTAAGGCAAATTTCACGTGTCCGTATGTGAGATGCAGAGGAAATGGAAAGCTCATTTTACTTTCACGGGCACAGCAGTGTACAACAAGCAAACCTGCAAAATCACAGCTCTCTACAATTTCTCAGGTAGCTTAATTCCCGAACTGGCACGATGCCAATTTAAACTTCAATGTTTACATGTGCGAGATTTGAGGAGGGATGAGGACGGGGAGCGTGAAGGATGGATTTAAAATCTTCGAGTTGGAAATGGGCAAGGAACTTTTTGTGAATTTTCACGAAGAGTTCCTTGCCCATTTCCAACTCGAAGATTTTAAATCCATCCTTCTAGCCTTCTAGCCTGCGTCGCCCCCGAAATTGCTTTTCTGCCAAAAAATCTTTCATGTGCTCATGAGTAAGAACCACGTGGACATGAACAATCATTTTGAGAATATTGGCCCGTACATAGATGTAGATTAAGTTGCCAAAGTTTCTCTTGTAGTTTTTATAGGTCTCGAGATGAAAACTCGATACAGACGCACACACAGACACACACACATACAGACAACCCTACGACAACATGCGTTTTTGCAATACACTGGTGAAAAAAACGCATAAAAGGGACTAATTTGCGTACAGCGGAAAGGCACTACACAAAAAATAGATGTGGCATGCGATCAAAAATTACTTCTTCCTGGAATTTTTTTCAGCGCCGTAGTCGACACCACCGCATGCTGGTACTCTCTTTTTGAAATCGCACTGAAGACAAAAATCAAGCTTTATTTCATAAAGTAATAGCTTAAAGTACCGCATGAAAGTGCCAGAAACGAAAAACAATCAGCCATCGAAACCAGATGCAATGAATTCATCATGAAAGCTGTGAATGAATTACGACTTGAGCTCAACTAGATAACGCCAATTTCCACTCTCCCTTTTCCTCTTAGAAAACCTGAAGAAATTCCCCATCCTGATGGATACTGCTCAAAAAGCTGCCAGAAATTTCATCCTTATGATCAATTTTAGCAGCAGTAAGCTGTTCGGCTTTTCATTTTCTACCAGACTCTTGTCAGTTCAATTAACCGTCCGATTTTCGCGCGTTTTACTCCAATCTCTCGCTTTCCTTAGCACGTTTTCACTCCTTCACACCTGCTAAATTTACAGGCTGTATTAAGCATCTAATGCGAAGAAGACATGCGCAACTTACACGTAATTTTTTCAGATTAAAATATAAACCCTTCGGGCACTTTGATAGCGATGCGGTTTCACCAGCACAAAACCAGTACACGTTAGAACAACCGTCCACATAAACACCGTCGTCCAAGCCAGTGCAGTCAAATTTCACTACAAACCAAACACTGCACATATTCAGGAACCTAGATTCTTTGCGATTTTTTGTTAGAGAAAATATGGATCGCTGCCCGATGATGCTGTCTCTGCCCGAGTAGTTTCAAAACTTCAGGCTAGTCTATGGAAACTTCGATTCCAGGCTAGTTTACGGAAGCCAATCACTTTGTAGTTAATAACGAACAGAGAATCCCATATACCGAACGCACTTCTAGTTCACAGCTAAGGACATTTTGGATGAAGGTGGAGCCCCATCATTTTTTGAACCAATCCATGAAGTAGACCTAATTTTCAGTCTGTTCCTCACCAGCACGGCCTGTGCTTCGCTCTTCTTTCATCCAAATTTTATTCCCATTGCCACGAAAACCAGGGCTGCACAATCGCAAAAACAGGCGCTTGAAAGTGGATGTCCCGACTCCGCTAACGTCGGCCATCCAGATATTCATTGTTGTAACAAAGGTAATTTATGACTGCAGTCATGGTGATAGCGAATGTAGCTACAGAATAATAATGGTAATAATAATAATAGTAGCAGCATGACAGTGATAAAAGTATAATAATCCTAAATTTGTTAGGAAAAAAAAAATATTTTATTCAGCACAGCTCCGATCAGTCATTCGTTGCACATCTGCAGCAATGAATAACCCCAACATGTCTTCGAGCAAGTAATACTGTCTCCTTCCTCCTCCTTCTACGCCTTTTGGCTTTTCCACCACCCAGAAACCTCAAACATTTCAATAAGAGTACGTTACATCGACAGTATAGTATATTATCCTTTGGCTCGCAACGTTGTTCATCGTTGTTCCAGTACTGCCCAGCACTGCAAAACACTTTTTTCGCTTTACCATTCCGACACGACAGGTACCACGGTTCGCACGGGCCGCCCTGAAAGTCATTAGCAGTGCAGCGATCATACCAGCACTCGCGCATTTAAAGTATGAAGCGAAACCGGTTTTTCTTAAGCAGTTTGTCTGATTTTAACAAAGGCTGGAACGCACCAGGCCAGCAGGTGCGATCATGCGTTTTTGCATCAGAACTAAAGTAAAAGTATTGCCCGAGCGTTCGTTTCCAAAA